GCAAAAAAATATTAAAAAAAACAATGGTGATTAAATACCATCAAAAGAAAGCTCTATTTGTGTGAAAAAAATGCTAAAGATTTGGCTACAGTGTTGTGTGACCAAGCAATTGTTTTTCAAAGTGTAGGAGCGCTGAAGGCTGAAAATTGGCCTGGGCAGGAGAAGGTGAAACTGTCCAGTGTGGAAGTGGTTAACAACACTCTGTAAACATCTGGGAACTGTAAAGACCAGTTGCTGGAGTTTTTTAGGAGAGGAATCTTGTCCCATTCTTGCCTGAGCATATTCTGCTCTAAAGCCTGAATATATTTTTTAGCATCGATGGTACTATTGCAGATGCGCATGCTGCCCATTCCATATGCAGTAATGCACCCCCATACCATTAGATGCAGGCTTTTGAACTGGGTGCTGATAACAAGCCAGAAGGTCCATCTGCTCTTTAGTTCAGAGGACATGGTGCCCTTGGTTGCCAAAAGAATGTCAAATTTCGATTTGTCTGACCACAGAATAGTTTTCCACTATTCCACTGCAGCAGGCCATTTTAAATGCGCTTTGGCTCAGAGAAGATGGTGGCATAAAGATCTCAAGCATCCAATATTTTGTTTCAGCCTTGTCCTTTGCACACTTGTGATCAGGAGCTTTCCGATCACGTGACAGCCAATCATGGTGGTCACATGATCATGAAACCTCACCCCCCCCCCCGGTCATCAGAAAACCCCTTAACAGGCCGGGTGGTGCGGCATTGATGGGTTAAATAATTAATTTTTAATAAACATTTTTCATGGGTTACATTTGGAAAGCAGATACCAAACGAAAAATGGCAAAAAACTACCAAGTGTAATATTTCCTTAGAAAACCACAGAGATGAGCTCCATACATCTGATGTTACAGCATAACAAAGTCATTAGTACTTAATAATGTATTTAACCTGTGAAGTACTTTATATGCCAAAAAGTATATTTTGTGCAAACAAGTGCATCCTGAAAGCAAACAAATAGCCCCTAGCAAAGAGAAAGAGAAGGACTGTTCAGAAAGAAACATACTGTATATGAGCGAGAAGAGCAAGAGACACAGTAACAAAGAGGGGAAAAAAAGCGAGGGGGGGGGGGTTAGAGAAACACCCTCCGTTTATACTCAACACCCATATGATCAGAAATCACAAACAGGACCTCAGAGCATCAGAGTTTGAGAACTCAATCCAGGTATACTACACTGTTCTGAATTTAGAATATCTTTCCTCTAGGCTTGCAGCGAATTCTTCTATTATTATAATGTGGTAAAATTAAACTACTATGTATGCCTGCAGAATTCCAGTATCTATGGATTAAAGTTTGCTCTGCGGAGATGAGAAAACACAGCAGACCCTTTTTAGTGACCAGCGGAGAATCAAGGGGAATGGAAAGGAGGGCCAATGCCGATAGTACCAGATGGTCTCTAACTGTGGAATGAGAGCATAGTTGGAAGATAGTCTCCCAGAGTGGTTTAGGCCAGGGGCAGTACCATCATATGTGAAGCATGTTGCCCGTGCCCTCTCCACAGCAACAACATTGTTCAGGATATGCTGGCAACATTTTATGCAGTCCAGTAGGGCATCTATTCCCCCTGGGTAGTATTTTATAGTTCCTTTCTTGTGCTTGCATGGAGAGGCTTGTGAGTTAAATGTAAGAAAGCAGTAATCGTACAGCCCAACTCTCTCTCCCAGTCCCCGGTAAAGTATGGCTTGTGAGGAAATTCAAGAAAAAGAAGTATACCATAAATTGTGGACATATTGCGAGGACAATCAGATTGTCTAAGACAAAGACTCAAAGTAAGTTGGGTTCCTATGCACTGTGCCCAGCTTAGAGAGGAGTGAATAAAAATGCCTGAGCTGAGAGTAATGAAGCCACCTGCTTGGGTATGAGTGGTCCATGGGGACTAAATCACTTAATGGTTGAAACCAGGCAGCCTGTTTGATTGGGGGGGGGGGGTGCCAGACTCATCGGCCATAAGAAATAGGAAGCACAAAGTCCCAGGTGAAATTCTGGATTATCCATAATTGGGGTGAGTGCCACACTCTCAGCAAGGATTTGCCAGAGGTGAGAGCAACTGTCCAGGCAGTCTGTGTTGGGGGCCCAATCTTTGAAGACCAAGCATTTTGAATGTCAACGGAATAATTTCAGTATTCTGGCTAATACTGCTGCTTTGTGATAAAGTTCCATGTGTGGTAGACCCGCCCCTCCATCCACCTTACGCTTCACTGAAATATAGTGGAGATGAAGTTTTTCCCAGTGGTATCAGCACGCAAGGAACAGAAAAATGAATGTGTTAGGGATATGGGGAGGGTCTGATATAAGTAATCCAAGCAAGGCAATATGTCTATTTTATACAGTGCTATTCTCCCTAGCCAAGGACGTTTTCCCAAGGATCAGGACTGTAATCTATGAGTTGTGGAGTTCAACAGGGGCAAATGGCACGTAAATATTTAAGCGCCTGAGATTCCCACTGGAATGGGAAGGTGGTTGTCATAAATTCCTGTGCACTTTGCGGTAAGGTGATATTTGATTGACATTTTTCAGACACAGCTTTTCACAGATTGGTGAACCTCTGCCCATAATTAAGTCTGAGACACTGACTGTCTAATATGGCCTTTGTATACCCAATCATGTAACTGACCTGTTGCCAATTAACCTAATTAGTAGCAAAATGTTCTTCCAGCTTTTTGTTGCCCTGTCCCTACTTTTTTGGGGACATGTTGCTGACATCAATTTCAAAATTACCCTATTTTCTCGGTTTAAATATTTAATATGTTTTCTACTTTCTATTGTGAGCACAATATGGGTTTATGAGATTTGCAAATCATTGCATTCTGGTTTGATGTAGCTTTTAAAACAGTGTCCCAACTTTTTTGGAATTTGGGTTGTACATTAAAGCTGAATACTAGGCACACAGCAAAACCAAAAATTAAAATACAGGGAGGTGTACACAATATTGTGAACACCAGAATTAGTTTTATTCTTGTATGTTACACTGAAAACAACAAAAATGTAAATCTTTTCCTTGTCTATGCTCTCTAAGTTGTATGTCGGTTTATTATACCTTGTGCTTAGCAGCAGTTCGTATGAGAGGGTGACTTGTCAGACTTTGAAAGAGGACAAATTGTTTCCACACATTTAGCTGGAGTGTCTGTTAACCATATCAGTAAAATTGGTATTTCAATGAGTGACAGTCTCCAAAGTTATAACTGCAAAAATAAAGCATGGCAGGATTCATCAGCAAAAAAAGAATAGTTGGGGAAAAAAAAAAAAAAAACAATGGACTAGGAAGCAGGGCCCGTTTCCACAAAAAAAAAAACTATGCACAGATAACACAGACCCACCTTCTATGGAGGAGCTGAAACCAAACTTAAAATTTGTTTTTGGTTGTCAGCCACTATTCTTCTTTCCCAAAGAAATCTTGCACATTATGGCAGCTTGCTCTTCTCTAACAATGGAAGGTCCACCCTCAACCTGACCACTCCATCATTACTATCAAACTTGGACTCTTCTTTCTTCAGCCACTTTGCATGCAGTGATGATGATGATCCCTTGCAGATTTTCATCAAAGACAAGTGTAAAACTTCACAAAAACTGCTAGCAGATAAGAGATTTTTTGCCAAAAGAGACATACAAATACACTGGTTTACAAAAGAGTCAGATCATGTGAATATTCGCTTCAATTATTCACTAATTGAAAAAGCAAATTGCAGTTTAGTTTTTACACTTGGACATGATGGTGTATCCAGAGTGAAGGGGAAATTGGTTTTCACATGATTGGGTAACTGAACTGAACTATTTATTGAGTTAAAATTTCAGCTAGTAAATCAGCTGAAAAGTCTGTAATACAGAAAACCTCTACCATTCTTATTTTATTTTTCTCTGAGACTCTAGTTATGCCCACTTTAAAATGTGTATGACTGTTAGATCCATGGGAACCCTATACAAAGACAAAAGGTATAATTTTCTGAAACAACATTTGTGTTATGCTTTGTTAATTTAGGATGTAAATAATATTTAGCAGAGCTCTTGATTAGGATGTACAGTCATACAGAGTAAAATCTGCCTGTTGCAGTGTCCAGTAGCCACAGCGCTAGCATAATTTTGAACTGCAGAATACATTGTGCGTGGCAGTATGCACTTAACCACTGGCACTGATGTTTTCATATGTATGGGTGTATTTTTCAAAATGTAAACATTTACGCAAGTGCTGGCAGCTATACGTACATGCATATAGCCGTATACAATATATTCTGCAATATACAGTAAACCCGTAGGCTAAGGTAGGCTGGAGCTGTGGCTACCAGATGCCACAACCTATGGCCGTATGTATCAGTAAAGTTGTTTTCAAAAAAAGTTTTTTTTTTTTTGTTTTGGTTTTTTATTTTGTAAAAAGGAAACCAAAGATATAAATATATATATTTTTACAGAAGACCGGTAGAGTGCAGGAGACTGTCTGAAAGGAAACAGGCCAGAGAAAGCCCACAAGACCATCTTACAAAATCAGCAGACCAGAACAAGTGTTCAAGCCACAGTGAGGCAGTCTTTCAATGACTTATAAAGGCAACCAAAACTTTCCCTTATGTCAGAAAATTAGATTTCCAGCTTAAGAACTTAATTTGCAGTAACAATGACAGACCAAATAATGACAGCAAAGAAGCCTTTGCAGAAAGACAGTTTTAGCAGTATAAGAGACGGGCATGATTGGAATTAAACGATCAACAGTGAGACACCTGTCCATTACTGAGGTTTTATGGAATTTTCTGTAACCATTTATTGCTTGCTTTACTTTTAGCTCCAGTCTCACTGCTGCATGTTCCTCTTATAAGGTAGGTATCTCTGATTTTATATCCCCATGCTCCACTTGCATTGATCTGTATCCGAGTGGCCTTTGGAGCTGCAGGTACAGTATCTTCAACCTCTTCCTCTGTGGTTGGTCCATTATTCCACATATAGCATTTATAGCACAAGTGATGTGCCTGGATCGAGATTTTAGTCCATCTTAAGATTTACATATATATAACGGATAAACCGAAGTGAAGCTGTGAAGCTGACAGTTCCAAGCATGAGAAAGAAAACATATGCTGTTAGGAAAGAGTACCCAAAGAATTCTACACTTTGAACCACCCCTGACATGTTAGACCGACGCCAGTAGTAAAAAACAGAGTACAGAAAGATAAAAGCTCCAGTAGATCCTGTGCTTAGAATTGATCGCCACCACCACCGATAATCTTCACCTGACAACTGGAAGTATGTCAATGCCACAGAAATACAGGCGCCTACGCTCAGTAGAATGGCAAATACGATGAAAAGAATCCCATACAAAGTGTACTGCTCTCGGCCCCAGACAGTAGCAAAGATGTAATACAGCTCCACAGAGATTGCACTGTAAAGAAACACAAACACACAATAAATGAATGCCAAAGAAACAATAACAAAATCACAACTGTTTACAGATTAAAGTGCATTTGCAGGAACTACCCAAATGTAGCCTTAATCCTTGGTTCACACCTATGGGTTTTTTTTAGTGTATTTGGCAGAAGTACACTAAAGTCCATTTAACATGGTTTCGTATGGATCTAGTTCACATCTGTGCGTTTAGAGCCAGTGCATTTTTTTTGAAATGGTCGGGGACTTTTATTCCCACAGCAGATTGCGTTTTGTGTGTAATAGACTTCAATGGGCCAGCACCAAAAACGTAAATGTGTTTTTGATGCTTTTTTTGCCAATAGGAAAGTATGACAGTTCTTTTCACATAGTGCGACTTTACACTCTCTGGCACTCAAGTAGTGCAAGTAGCATCAAAGTAGTGTCCAAAGTGCTACTTGAGTGTCAGGGAGTGTAAAGTTGCATCAAAGTCACAGTGCATGAACAGAACAGTCATATTTTCCTATTTAAAAAAAAAAAAAAAAGCAAAACTTATCAAAAAATGTGTCAAAAACAAGTGCTAAAAAATGCAAAATGCACTGCAAAACACATCAACTGTTGATGTCAAACTCTTGTGAGCGAAGGGGGAGCAGAATATTGCATGTATTGTATAGATGTAGGGATTCATTTTGCACTGACATACACTAAGTCCAATTATTGTTTTCCAGTTAATAAGGCAGCACAAAGTACAATTAAGCATAGATACCTAAAAGGTAGGAAACCTCCAATAGCCATGTGGACTGGTGCTGACTTATACCAAGGTTGAGGTGGGATTTCTCGAGCAATGTTCTTAGTCCGACATGGAGCTTCAAAGTTTCCTGCACTATTTTTACCAAAGATACCTCCAATCACAGTGAGAGGGAATCCAACCAGAAGCCACACAGTAAGCAGCAAGAGGATTGTGGTTGCTGGAAGAGCTTGTGTTGAGCCATTGGCCCAGTGGACTGAATTCACAACACTCCAAGTCAGGAAAAATGGAGCTGGAATAGGAATGTAAAAATTAGTTTTAAATGAGATATCATGTGCAAAATGTACATAAATATTTATTTCAATTTAGTTATTTAATTTTTTTTTTAAACAGTTTAAATGCTCCATGCACACTAGCGTTTTTTTAAAGCGAAAAAAAAAAAAAAAAACCACTGGAAAAAAACGCTGTTAACAGCGTTTTAGGAGCGTTACTGTTTTATTTGCGTTTTTAACAGTGCATGTAGAGGAAAAATATTAAAAAGCTAGGAAAAAAATCTGTTGTTTGGAGCGTTTTGCATTTTTTTTTTTTAGCTGGGAAAAAAAAAAAAAAAAACGCAAAACGTTCCTAACAGATTTTTTGCCAAAAAACTCTGCAAAAAGAATTTTTTTTTCTGCTCTTAGACGCTGAAGCTCAAAAAATACTAATAGCCTAAAAGTAGTGTGCATGGACATAGGATAAGACTATTTAACTTTTCAGAACCAAAAAAATGCTAATAAAAGCTTCTAAAAAAACACTGGTAATAGTGTTTTTTAGTACTGTTTTAGTAGCATTCAAAAGTGTTTTAGGAGTGTTAACGTTTTATTAGCATTTTTACAGTATGTGTAGAGGAAAAAAATGAATAAAAAGCTAGAAAGAAGCTGTTAGCGTTTTAGTAGCGCTTTGCATTTTTTTTGTTGGAAAAGCGCTCCAAAAAAAAATCTACAAATTCAATTTTTTTTTCTGCTCCTAGACGTTGAAGCTCAAAAATTGCTAAACAGCCTAAAGTAATGTGCATGGACATACACTATGCTGCCAAACGTATTGGGACGCCTGCCTTTACACACACATGAACTTTAATGGCATCCCAGTCTTAGTCTGTAGGGTTCAAAATTTGAGTTGGCCCATCCTTTGCAGCTATAACAGCTTCAACTCTTCTGGGAAGGCTGTCCACAAGGTTTAGGATGTGTCTATGGGAATGTTTGACCATTCTTCAAGAAGCGCATTTGTGAGGGACAGGCACTGATGTTGGATGAGAAGGCCTGACTCGCAGTCTGCGCTGTAATTCATCCCAAAGGTGTTCTATTGGGTTGAGGTCAGGACTCTGTGCAGGCCAATCAAGTTCCTCCACCCCAAACTCGCTCATCCATGTCTTTATGAACCTTGTGCGCAGTCATGTTGGAACAGGAAGGGGCCATCCCAAAACTGTTCCCACAAAGTTGGGAGCATGAAATTGTCCGTCTTGGTATGCTGATGCCTTAAGAGTTCCCTTCACTGGAACAAAGGGGCCAAGCTCAACCCCTGAAAAACAATCCCACACCATAATCCCCCCTCCACCAAATTTTACACTTGGCACAATGCAGTCAGGCAAGTACCATTTCTGCTGGCAACCGCCAAACCCAGATACGTCCATCGGATTGCCAGACAGAGAAGTGTGATTTGTCACTCCAGAGAACATGTCTCCACTGCTGTTGAGTCCAGTGGTGGAGTGCTTTGCACCACTGCAGCCGACGCTTGCCATTGTACTTGGTGACGTAAGGCTTGGATGCAGCTGCTCAGCCATAAAAACCCATTCCATGAAGCTTTCTATGCACTGTTGTTGTGCTAATCTGAAGGCCACATGAAGTTTGGAGGTCTTTAGCTATTAACTATGCAGACAGTTGGCGATATCTGCGCATCAGCATGCACTGACCCCGTTCTGTCATTTTACGTGACCTACGACTTCGTGGCTGAGTTGCTGTTGCTCCCAGTTGCTTCCACTTTGCTATAATACCACTAACAGTTGACCGTGGAATATTTAGTAACAAGGAAATTTCACGGTGGACTTATTGCACAGGTGACAACCTATCACGGTACCACGCTTGAATTCACTGAGTTACTGAGAGTGACCCATTCTTTCACAAATGTTTGTAGAAGCAGTCTGCATGCCTAGGTGCTTGATTTTGTACATCTGTGGCCATGGGGGTGATTGGAACATCTGAATGCAATAATTTGGAGGGGTGTCCCAATACTTTTGGCAATGTAGTGTATATGATACCACTATTTAGCTTAAAGGAGAATAAAAAATGCTAACAGCTTCTAGGAGCTTTGTCAAACGCTAGTGTGCATGGAGTCTTATTATATAAAAAAGGGTCAATACAGCATATGCAGTTGACAAATAAAAGAATAACCAGTAAGGTAGATCATTCAGTACAATGCCTTGGTGATTACAGCTGAGACAGTTGTACAATATAAATTTGTCAAAGGTAGAACACAGAAGGCACATGAATGCAGGCAGATAGCATATACATCACACCACAGAATGCATGAAAAGGAGAAATCTGAAATTGTGAAAAAAATCAAAAGCCCCCTCAAAAGCCAGGCTTAAAAATACTCCTTGTAAACACAAATGCTCCTGCGCTTGGGGATGGACTCGATGCTACAACCACATTAAGAATGTCCTGGAACATGCACACCTTGCTGCCCTCAAATGGACGGGGGAATCCAAATATACTGAATGGGGAAAGAACAAAAAGAGGGCGCACAGGCCTAGTGCATTACCATAAAAAAGAGCTCTGAGGAAGAGGCAAGTCCTCGAAACGCGTCAGCCTTTTGGATGTCTAAACTCCCTATTGTGGACTGTTACTCAGCGCGGTGTTGATCCAGCTGTTCTTCTATGATGTGCCTTGACTATATTGTCGTTTGTGAGTACAACACCTACTTTATTTTTTATTAAACATTTTTTATGGTAATGCACTAGGCCTGTGCGCCCTCTTTTTGTTCTTTCCCCATTTAAAAATACTCCTTGTCCCTGACCTGTTGCTAGGATGTGAAAACCGTTGCATGCTCGCTCGCAGCATTGCAGGATTAAAAAGCACTGGTTTTTCCATTAATCAGCAGGAAAGCAGGCGTAGCTGCATATCATCGGGAGAGACTGCGTCACAGAGGAAGATGGTGGCACAGGATCCTATCGGTGGCAGCTGAGAAGTGGATTTCAGCAGGACAACGCTGGATCCACTAGGTGGATCAGTGTTTGAATTGAGGACTAAACAATCATCAAGTAAAAGGGGGTGAAAAAAATAAATTGGGGGGCACTTTAAGGTGTGCTACAGTGTTCATTTAGAGCAAGCTGACAGAAGGAGAGAGCAGTGTGAGAGAGATATGAGCTCATCAATCTGCTGCTTCTCCTGCAGTAGAAAAAAATTAGGTCTGTGTTCCTGCCCCTTGGAGGGAAGGGGATAGGACAGGTCTGGGAGAGGGGAAAAATGAAAATAATGGACAGAAAGCAAGGTTAATAAACAAAAGGCTCAGAGTGGTTTTCGGCCAAAAAAAAAGATAAAACTTCACACACACGTGGCTGAAAATAAGAATCTTTATTATCATGTTAAAGCAACCTTGTCAGGTAAAAAAAAAAAAACAGATTTAAAGAGGAACTCTCTCCTGGTCCACGTTTTCTTCCTTCCTAACAGAAAATAAAGGAAAGCCAAAAGAGGGGGGCGGGGCACGTGCAGCCAATCATATGGAAATGGGATGGCCTACAGACACCCTCAAGAGTTGGTTCTGGCCAGCTCAGAAGATTGCTTCAAAAAAGGCCTGGATTCTTTCTTAGATACACAGAATATAAATGGATACTAACATTTATAGGTAAAGTTGATCCAGAGAAAATCCGATTGCCTCTATCCTAAATACAGTAGTTTCTGTTGGGAGGGGAATATGACTAGCAATAGGGTAACCGGTGTCAGCAGCTTTTCTGGGATCAGCAGCATCTTCTCCCTTGAGGATGGCACATAAGTCTGTTTCAAGCTCATAGCCACTGTAAGTGCTAGTAGATCAAGGTTACCTCAATACAAGTGTAAATTAATAAAAATATATTAAAGTGTTTTACCTGAAAAAAGGCTGGTAGTGAGTACAATATTCCAAACCCAACGGTCTCCACCCAGCTGTCTATAGAAATTACTGGACACATAGCCAGAGATACAGCAAGTAAGTGCGTAAAGTAGTATAGCGGCAGAATTTATAGCACCATGTCTGTGCACATTAAACATTCCGAGAAGAACCATTACTATGATACCTATGGGAAAAGAAGTAATTGTTAATGGCTGAAAAAAAAAAAAAAAATGCAATTTGAATGCCTTCAGCTATTACCTGTTCCAAGTGCCAGGAATTGGGAACCTACACCAAGTATGGCACACAATAGACTTCTATGTGGGGGGAAGCGGAAAACATCTGTATGAATGATCTTCCATCCATTGTCACCTTGTTCCATATCATCCGTCCCTTCCTCATCTAGATTGTACCGTGCTAGATCACTTTTGAGAACACGCATGAGAATGATGACCACAAAACCCAAAAGCAAAAAGACTAGTACCATGGAATTGATGATAGAGAGCCAATGAATCTCCAAACTTTTTGGAAAGAAACTGGTGTCCCTGAGACGGTCCCCACGCCTTTCGTAAGTCACAGAGGTTGGGAACCAACGTATACTATAAGTGTGGGTCAAGCTAAGAGGCTCTCTGACATCATCTAAGCTAAAAGGTTTCACATCTCGAACACTAACATTGGCAAATATGATACGGTCCTCATTATACTCAATGTTGAAGTCCAAGTGAGACCACAAGCCAATTTTATGAGTGTGTGGCAAGAAGCCACTCTCCTCCATGTAGCCTACAAAGCCACGGATTGGTATGTCATCCAGCACAAACTCGAAATAGTAAAGTTCTTCTATGGCTTGACGCAGTTCCTCTACCTTAAAGGAAAGAAACAAAACACCATAAGACAAGACAACAGAATTTCCATACATAGGACATCAATTTATATGGCAAGAGTAAGAGTATCATATGCAAATATACATAAAGTGACTTTAAAAAGTTAAGCAATGGTGTTGATGATAAACCTTAAAATACTGTACATGTTGGGGCAAAACTTACATGGACAGACAAGCCTATATAAAACGTGCTATCTGGCCAGCATTCAAGACTATTGTATGCTCCTAATCAGACCGTCAAAATCAGACACATGCATCATTTTGTACCCACTTATCAGTACCACATGATGACCAACACTGACCAGAAGAAACAAGATCAGCACATCACGGAATGGCTGAAGAAATTAATCCACACAGTGGTCCTCAACATGGCACTTGAGTAGGTCAGAAACTATTACCATCCATTCCAGCAGATCCTCTGTGAACCAAAATGAACAACCAGATACAGTACCCACAGAAGGAGTTCCTTTTAGTTTTTATATAATTTTAGGTCACAGATAATGATATACAGTGGTACCTCGGTTTACGAATGCCTCGGCTAACGTAATTTTCGGTTTACGAATGAAAATACATTAAAATAATGCCTCGCTTTACAAATTTTTTTTTGAAATACAATGTGTACATCGTTGCTGATTTTTTTAAATGCAATTGCTTGCTTTTTTTTTCTTCACTACAGCTCACAAGATTAGCTGTCACTTTGCCCGGAATTACAGGAAACTTTGTTTCTTTTAAGAAACTAAAAGGAAACATTGTTTCTTTTAAGTTGGGGAAATAAACAAAGAAAACGCTCTCTCTATTAGCTGGGGGAAAGTGACAGCTGAATTTCTGAGCTATAGCGAAGAAAAAAAAAGTGGTAATTACTATTTAAAACCAGCACCATAATAAATTAAAAAAACGACCCTTTGGGTCTGGTTTAATAAAACGACTTGTCAAAGACCATGTCCTGATTTTATTCACACTACACTTTTTGTTTTTTTTGTGTATGAGTAGAGGTACCATGTACCCCATACTCACTCACATGGGGGGGGGCTGGGATCTGGGGGCCCCCTTGTTAAAGGGGGCTTCCAGATTCTAATAAGCCCCCTGCCTGCAGACCCCCACAACCGCTGGCCAGCGTTATGGGGAAGAGGCCCGTCCCCATCAACATGGGGACAAGGTGCTTTGGGGGGTAGTCCCCCCTACCTCAAAGCACCCCTCCAATGTTGAGGGCATGTGGCCTGGTATGGTTCAGGAGGGGGGCACTCGCTCATCCCCCCCCCTTTCCTGACCTGCCGGGTTGCATGATCGGATAAGGGTCTGGTATGGATTTGGGGGGGGGGGGGGGACAGTGTTTCCGTTTACGAATTTTCGCTATACGAAAAGTCTTTCAGAACGGAATAAATTCGTAAACTGAGGTATTACTGTATTTACATTTGTTAATGTGGTACAGAAAAATTATAATTCATACCCAGAAAACCTAATTTAGTCAAGTTTTTCTTCAATATTTGTATACAAAAGTAAAGCTAACAGAAAACCAACATACATACTAAGTCTTTGCAGCAATTGGTCTGATCCTGTAGCTGTCCCACGCCGCCTCATTGCCCAAGAACTGAGCGATCATGTGACCACTGATCGCTCAGTGCTTGAATTCACTCTGAGCATCTGAGCAAAGAGTGGTGAGTATCAATCACTGCTCTGTGCTGTGCCCTTCCAGTGCTCACTGGAGCGTAGTGCTAGGAAGGGGGAAGGAGTGGCTGGCTCAGGCTATCAGACTGATTCTGGGTTATAGAACAGTAAATGTAAGTGCACTCCTGTGACCCACATGAGAAGTATGTCCAAAGGAGCTAGGTTCACACATATGCGTGCTGAAATCGTTCCGTTTTGCATTGTGATTTCAGCACACGTTTCTGTGTAAATGCTACTGCAGGTGCGATTTCAGTGGAGGTGCAATTTTGGCTCCTCTCTCTCTCATTCCATGTCAACACATCTGCAAATTGAAATCAGACCGATTCAAACTCGCACAGGATCCTTTTTTGAAGCGAATAGTTATCACAGTTGTAACAATGCCTACTACAGTTATTTCCAACTTCCACAGGGTCTTCCAAGTATGACACAAGCATACTTACATTTGTCCAAGCTGGACCAATGCAACTATGCAAAAATATGCATACTTGAACTTCAGCTTTAAAGCTGAACTCAAGCACGAAAACCTTTTTTCTAAAGTGGTTGTAAACCTAAAAAACACAAATCAGTCTAATCCTATAGTTGAATAGATTCTACATTTACTAAGCATTTGAGCTTAGTTTGGTATCTTGAAGCAATCCCCTTCTCCAGAAATCCCCCCTGCTCTTCTGAACAGAATAAATCCAACACAAGCAGAAAAATGGTGTCGCCACTCCCCTTCTGTGAAGTAACAGGCTGTGCAGAAGACGAGACCAGCATGAGCCTCTATGTAATACACTGCAAAGGGATAGGGGGAGCGGGTGTCCCTGCTGGTCTCTGCCTTCACAAGATCGAGAACTCAGCACCAGTGATATATGACATAGATCGGCATCACTTTGGTAATGCTGTAGTTATCTAGGCAAGTCTGCTCACAAATGATTATTGTGCTACTCTATTCACAGCACCTAGCTTATGAATTTCTGTTTACAGAGTTTTACATGAGAATGTTTCCTGGTCCACATTTCCACTTTAGGCTGCAGGATTCCTAGGATTTTTAACATAAATCCCTTCCTACCAGCTTTCTCCTGATTAGCACAGATCCTGTGCTGTAAGCAGAGCGGACATAGTCACTGCCACCTGTGTATTCCCCTGAATGCACTCAAGAGACATACTCGCAGGCTTAGAGATGTCAACTAGCTATGAACGTTCTTGAGCAGAGGCTGGAGGGTGTATAATTGAGAGATTGTGTGACATCACATCTCCGCCTACTATTCTCTGATCCTAAGCCACACCCACAGAAAAGCAGTTTTTGGAGGGCTGAGACAAGCTAAGGCTAAGTATGTATGTTTACATTCAAATGTATTCATTTATGGCAAAAACTGCATTTTTTTATATTTGAGTTTACAACCACTTTAAATATATTCCTCAATAACATCAAAGGATATGAATCCAGTTTGTGTGCACTAAATGCCTTTGCAAACCCAGATTTACCTTAAAAGTAGTAGAAGCATCACTGTGCTGTAAATAGCCTATGCAGAGACCAGAGCTGTGGAAGGGAGCCAACAACCTCTACCTGATACAGGCTGCCATCAGACTACAAAAGGGGGCAGAGAAAAGACCAGCCACTTTGCATTGGGAAAGAGAACAGTAGTGACCAGTCTTTACAGGAAACTCTTGTGCGGAGGCAAAGCGTCACACTGGATTACTGCACAGCTCTGGAAGAAATACAGAAATCATGGGGCAATACAATGGCTAAATGGTTAGCACTGCCACCTAGCAGCACTAGGGTCGTCAGTTCGATTTCCAACCACGGCACTTTCTGCACAGAGTTTGCATGTTCTCCCTGTGCCTGTGTAGGTTTCCTCCCGCACTCCAAAGACATGATAGTAGGTTAACTGGCTGCAAGCACACATCGAATGCTAGTTTTCTAGTATTAACGTTCAGACACCAGTCGCTAGATGAGATTCTGTTGAACAGACTGCAGTACACACAGATTGAAAGTCTTCTGGTTCCTGCCAAACCAGTCAATTGTTCACCCATGTATACCCAGCTTTACTTTATATTTTGCTAACACGTCGTGTATTAGTACTGCTTGGACCTTGAAAGCTTGTCCTGAAAATTTTGGATGTTAGTGCAAAAAAAAAAAAAAGTATCACAGACAGTACTCAATTGTTTTAGTTACAAGTGCACTAACACAGCTACAACCACTAAGCTATAATGAAGGGCTCCTTCACACTGATCAGTTTTTGATGCGCTTTTGAAGCCTTCCCATTGACTTACAAAGTGAAGCGCAGCATACCTGCAGTGTGAAGAGTTCCATAGGATTTAAGGGAATTCATCAAATTAAAGCACACAAAGCTCAATGTAGAGATTTGGCAATGCAAAGCTGATTGAACTCCCAGGCATGCACAGAATTACGTCATATCTGCCAAGCCATTGAAAGCAGTTGAAGAAGTCAGCAGATGGCGGGGAATTCCAGCACTGATGGAACTAAGCCGAGTACAGTTCCACTTTAAACTGGATGACAGTGGCTTATATATTAGTGTGGAATTATTTGCCAAACTTCTTGTTAACATTCTCAAGCAGCTTCTAAGCAATTCTCCAAACAAGCAAAACTAGTTGCCATGTAACAACCCAACAAACAAGTTACCTTTCAGTTACCAATTCATTTATGGATTGTGATCTTGATAAATGTAAAGGATATCTAAACCCAAAAACATAATTTAGTTCAACTTACAGTGTTTAAATGTGATGGACACATCAGTTTTCCTTATTCAAGCTATCAACATTTTTTGCAAGCACAAAAAAACCTCCAAAAAAACAAACGCCTGTTGATTTTGCCAGAATTCCGGAGTCTTTGTAGCTTCCTGTGTAAAGAACTGATAACTCAAACAATAGTATCTGCTTTCCCAGCTATCACACAACTACAGAACATCTCCATACAATGTAAAGCAAATGAAGATAAAAGAGGGCTGTTTGTATACCAAATCAAGAGAGCAGTCCAAGAGGACAACGCTACTCCTCCATAGATATAGTGAGGGGTAAAACGCGCTGACGTCATTTCTGGTTCCAGCAAGGCTGCGTGACGTCACGTCTGGTTAGTGGAGCGCACGCGAATAGCAGCACTCTGGAAACATTTTGACTAGTGCTGTATTGAGGTTGAAGGCTATGGATTACATACTATCTCAAGGCTCATATATTGCTTAGTTAATGTAAGTGAAATGTGTGTTGCTCTTTTATTTGAATAAAGAAGTTCAACAATATTACACTATTCATGTCTTTTCTGCTGCTGCCCGCATGATGAATTTTGGAATACATTGATGAATTGCACCTATACTCCA